ATAAATGCACTTGAAATATGTATAACAGAATCTACATGTAAGAACTGTAAAAGTAAGTTACATAAGGAGGAGGGAGTATAGAGAATAAAAACATCTCACAAAAGAAAAAAAAAGTTTGGGTGGTCTCATCCTGTGTCATTTACTGCCTCTGAAAACCAACTTGATGGTAAAGAACAGTCCAGTTAGTGCTTTTCATCTTCATAACTTTTTAGTAACGTTACTTTTCCCACAAGTTAAAAAAAAAAGGTAAGATGTAAACACAAATAAACAGATGAATGGTGAGATCAAAACTGGATTTAGTGGCTGCCTTCTATTTTGTGGATCTCTTACTCCAAACTTTTAATTTATGTATAGGAATGACTAGTGATAATGGAATTGCTTTTTTTTTTAAAAAAAAAAAATTTCAACCTAATCTGTGTATGTGCTAGATAACTTTGGAGTGCTGGATGGGTTAATTAATATCAGGATGTTACCTCTACTAATGGGAAATAGTAAATGCCAAGTACTTAGTATATACCAAGCAGATTCCATTTTCTAAATGATGAAAATAAAAATTCACTTACCCAAACTTTCCAATTTCCATGTTATATTTTTTTCACTGTTGTGGATAGGTCTCATTGTAACCTCTTGCTGGATTTGTTCCAAGACTGGCAAGTGATAAGCCTTTGAAGTGTGGTGCCCTCTTCAAGTGTCTTGATGAAAGATAATTATTGTAACCCTTTCTCAAACAGGGAGCTCTGGTGGTGCAGTCCACAGGGACCCAAAGGTGGCTTCTCTCTGGTGCAGGTTAAGATCCACTTTTGACTCAATGAGTGGGTTGAACTGAGTGCATTCTTAGAGATACGTGGCTGCATCTATGTGTTGTTGGATAAAAGTCTTTGATACTAGTTCTTTTGATAGTGATTGTGAACCATCTTTTCTGATTCTGGGAAGTGTACTGAATTTGGTTTTCATGTACCAGGAAATCAGTTGATATTTTACTCAATTTCTTTGTGAGGTTTCGTACAATTATTCTTTGATATCTATTTATTTGTGATCTATTCTCTTTATTTTAGAAGTCTTTAAGCCTTAATCAAATTTATAAAAAATCACTGTTAGGTCAGAAGCATCATGATAGACCCTAAGAAGTACCCTTTTATTCTGTAAGAACCAAGAAACTTGTCCATCTTCATTTTCCTTTATGTAGTGAGGATGTATCTGAGCAAGAGGTACCACATAACTGGAACAGATAGTTGACTTAGATAATAAAAGATGGGGGAATACAGAGGAAATTATATGGTGGGAACTCAATATCTTTTTTCTAATCCAATACAAGATGGAGGGAACACAGAGGATATTATATCGTGGGAACTCAATATCTATTTTCTAATCCAATATACATGGTTAAAAGCTTCACTGTACCTTAGTTGTGTCTATTACGGGAATATAATTGATAAACTCTTCTGGGACTAGTTTGTATGCGTTGTGTGCTTTATTGTTAATCACAACTTTCCTTAATGCTATCAGACTCATTTAAATATTAACTCTAAATTATTCTTTTTCTACATGTACACCTTCTTTGATGGTTCAGTATTCTGTTACTAGTAAATGATAGCTATTTAATTTTTAAAACTTGGGCCAGTAAGTGGTCTTTTTTCTTCTTTATTATTATTCTTAATTTTAATGAAAATTTACAGAGATTTTGGATTTCCATTCATTCATTGTTGCACTTTTCTCGCTGCCCACCCCTCCCCCCAGTTCACTCTTCTCTTTGAAAAATAAAAGAAAAATTCTTTTATTGTTAAACAGTCCCTCCCCCCAAGTCCACTCCACTATGCAGCCTTTGTTCTTGACTCCTTTCATAACAATAATATCTAATCATGTATCCCTTTTAAACAGTTTTCTTCCTCATCTGTTTCAATGCAGTATACCTAATTTATCCCACTTTCTCAGTCTCCTTCCAACCCTGATGTTAGTCCCATTTTACAACAGTGGCACTATGCAGTATTTGTCCTTTTGTGACTGAGGTATTTCATTCAGCATAATGTCCTCCAAGGTCACCTATTTTGTATAATATTTCATGAGTTCCTTGTTTTTCAAAGCAGCGTAGTATTCCGTTCTGTAAATATACCAGTTTCTCAATCTATTCGTTTGTTGATGGGCATTTAAGTTGTTTCCAACTATTTGCTATAAACATTGTATGACCTTTTGACTTGCTGTTATTACTTAAGACCTTAGATATTTGTTGTCCCTTTGCATTTATTTGAAACTTTTTTCAGTTGACTTGCTCTGATCTCTATTTTAGCTTCTTTGCTTATAAAATAATAATATACTTATTGATATCTTCTAACCACATAAAAGTTTATTTTCTTGAAGGTTTTTAACACAGGCTTCATCAGCACAAAATATTGATGGGCTATTATGAGAGTGTTTTCTGTTGGAACACTCACCTAGGACTAATTGGTGGAAATAAATTAAGTTGATTTTTTTAAAATTACTATTACTTTTGTGTATGTGTACTGTCAAATCGGATCTGACTCTTACAGGAGGAGATTGCCCCCTCCTTCTTCAGCAGAGCATCAGGTTTTGAACCATGTACCTCTGGGATTGCAGTGCAGCTTCTTGCCACTAGGCCACCAGAGCTCCCTCAAAAATAAGTTGATTTATATCTTTCTTATTGAATTGAATCATCCATTAGTAGAACAAGCCAAAAGGTACAGGCTGGCTGATACAAACAACATGAAGACAAAGATTCTATAGAAACATTAAGATTTTACCCCTCTAACTCATGAGTCTTAACGTAGTTATTTTCCCACACACTAGTACATTTTGCTCTAAGTCATTCTGTTAGTTATCTGGGCTATAGAGTGTTTATTTTAATTCTTTATTATACTTCCGGATACTTTTTTAAAAGCTAAATTCTAATTGCCAGGCCTTGAAATGTATCTGAGTATAAGAAGTAATAAAACACATGCTCATTGCATTGGAACTGAGTAATAGCTGATCCTCGAACAGTTTTTTTGGAGGCTGTAAATCTTAAGGGAAGTGATTGTCCATATTTCTCTGTAGGAGTACCTGGTATATTAAAACTGCCAGGGGCACCATCTTTGAATTACCAACACAGCTCCCTACTGAATATACCTTCAGAGCTCCCTAACAAGTAATGAAGGAAAGCAAAATTATCATCACAAATTGATAGCTTACTGTGTAAGCCATATCTTGAATTTTTTTCTTTTTTTATTATTAAATTTTATTAGTTTTAATGAACATTTACAGAGATTTTGGGTTTTCATTCATTCATTGTTGCACTGTTTTCTCCACCCTCCTCCCCAGTTCGTTCTTCCCCCACCCCATGTCTGTTTTAATTGTCCAATTGCCACAGTGCTTGTCAAAGCCAGTTCTGATTAATCTCCTTTGTCAGTGTGTCCTTTGCCATTCCCTATCACTCCTCCCTGAGAGAGACTTCACCCTGATTCATAAGGAAAAGGGGATGGCGTATTCTCTTAGCTACTTCCTGCTGAAAAGGAACACTGTGGGTTTCAGGGTGAAGATCTTCTCTCACTACTCTAAAGGGCCCCTTTGGCAGTAGGAAACACATAGACTATTATGGAGATTGATTTTGGAATTTAGATGCACTGTTATCAATTGTGCTTAGCCGTACATGTTCATATCCTTGAAGATGTATCATGGAAGTGTTGCAGCCTAGAAGATAGAAATTTAACTAACAAGTTAAAAGTGCATGAGTCAAAAATGGAAAAGCAATAATATTCTGAGTAGAGGTTCTAATAGTAGCACAAATCAAGTTACAGAGGTAAGGTGCTTCCATTGCCATCCTTACTCTAACTTAATTCTTTTTTTTTTAAGTTTGTTATTAATTTCAGTGAAAATTTACAGAGGCTTTGGATTTCCATTATTCATTCATTGTTGTAGATTATATCTTGAATTTAACTTTGAACTTTTGAGGTCCATACTCAAAGTAACACATTAGAAATGTGTGAAACTAAGAATAATGTATGGCCATATTGTGACTATGTCCATTTTAGGTTGGGTTCTTTTTTGTGTGTAATATATACATGCTTTAGAAGAAAACTCCCTTAAGAGTTAAAGCTAAAGCTGAGATTTTAAATGCTATTTCTTAAAATAGAAATGAGAATTTATTAGGAGTCATTTGGATTTGTTTTCTTTCAGAAATCGAGCTATAGCAGATTATCTTCGATCCAATGGCTATGAAGAGGCATATTCTGTTTTTAAAAAGGAAGCTGAATTAGATATGGTATGTTTGACTTATAATTATTCATAACTTAGTTACATGAATGAATTTTACTCATGTATAGCAACCAAGCTGTGGTGCTGGAGAAGAGTATTGAGAATACCATGGATGGCTAGGAAAACAAACAGATTCATCCTGGAAAGGATTAAACCAGGTGGCTCCTTGGAGGCAAGGATTCTGAGGCTCCGTCTAACATATTTTGGACATGTTGTAAGGAGAGACCAGTCCTTGGACATCATGCTTGGGAGGATGGAGGGACAGCGCAGGAGGGGAAGGTCCTCTGTGAGGTGGATTGATTCAGTGACTGGGGTAATAGGGATGGGCGTGTCAGAGACAGTGCGATTGGCACAGGACAGCAGAGTTTAGGGCTGTTGTACATAGGGTCGCTATGAGTTGCAAGCGACTCGACAGCACATAACAATAACAAACATAGCAACCAACTTCATTATGCATAATTCGCATCATTTGATTTTGTGTTCTACTTGGCACTAAACTTGGTTTATGCTCCTCATTTTTTCTGTAACCAGATAAAAGTAACCCTACCTAGAGAATGAATAGTCTGTGTGGCTGGACTGTTACAGCGCCTTTTTTTTTTTTAAATACTGGTTTATTTTGTACAGCTTTTAATAAGTTTCTTCTCTCTCTAGAATGAAGAATTAGACAAGAAATATGCTGGTCTTTTGGAAAAAAAATGGACATCTGTTATTAGATTACAAAAAAAGGTCAGTATCTCTGCATTATAAAAGCTCTGCAGATTATTGCTAATGTGTAAGCTTAACTCATTTTAACCAGGGTTACTGACATTGAATCCACACAGCCCTAACTTCAAAGAGTTAGTACAGAATGAAATGATTGTTGTAATTAATACAAACAAAGCACACGAAAAGCCAGAAATGTTAACACTAAAATGTGTTTGTAGCCAGGTCGTTTTTATCTTTGAACTTTCCTGTTTGTGAAGTGAATACAGTAAATGAAATTTCAGACCTGTGATTGAATTTACTAGATGGCTGAAGTGAGAAATTGACCTTGTTAAGAGTTAATTGATGTAATTCTTAGCACGTAATCAATGCTCTCTAAATGTTAGCTTTACTTAGAATTATTAGTATTACTATATAATGTAAATTGTAGCTTGGAAGGAATTTACTATGAGTAGCAGATTCAAGACCAGGACAGGTTTGCTTTTCTTCTTCAAAATAAATAAATAGAAGACTATGATCAAAAATAATTTTTAAATTTCTTTGAATGAAATAATTATATTGTACCAGATCTTTTTTAACTTGTAGTTAATCTTTTTAAGCTGATTTATTTTGGTGGTATAAAAACAGTGCTTTCAGTTAAATCTGAATTCGGTTATATTTTGATGCTTTGCAAATTACTGAGATATTTTTTACATATTCTGCAAATGTCCACCTGCTGCTTTTGAGTCCATGTCGACTCATAACCTCTATCAGGTTATAGGGAAGAGACTGTCTTTATCTTGAGGAGCAGCTGATGAATTAAAACTAATTATCTTTCCGTTAGCAGTGCTAAGATATAACACCATACTGCCAGAGCTTGTGTGTTTGTGTTTGTCTACCCATACATATACATACAAAAGAAAACCAATTTTTTTAAAGTGATGTTGATTTATTTTTGCCACAATCTGTAAATAATGAAGTTTTTCCCCTTCTCACAAGGTAATGGAATTAGAATCAAAGCTAAATGAAGCAAAAGAAGAATTTACGTCAGGTGGCCCGCTTGGTCAGAAACGAGACCCAAAAGAATGGATTCCCCGTCCACCAGAAAAATATGCTTTGAGTGGTCACAGGAGTCCAGTCACCCGAGTCATTTTCCATCCTGTGTTCAGTGTTATGGTCTCTGCTTCAGAGGATGCTACCATTAAGGTAGTCTTTGTTTTGTTTTCAAAATTGAAAGATGTGCAGAAGGGTAATTGTTACAAACAGATTTAGGATTAATTGAAAACATCCTGACAGTGAGGACATTAGCAGAGGGATAAGAGAGATTCTTTGAAACTGTAAGTGGCTGTTAACAAACCATAAAAGACAGAAATAGAATAAAATAAAAATTCATTGTAGCTCCTAAGAGGCAAGCTGCCAAATAAGGTCACTGATGAATTTGAGAAAATACAGTGTTATTAATTTTAGCATTAGGCTGTAGGTCACCTTGTGCTTGAGTAATTTTTATTCTTAGAGATCAGAGGTAAAGTGTATGCCTTTTTTAAACAAGGGCAGTATATGAAAATACAAGTTTATAAAATTTATTCAGAGCTTAAATGTGTTTCACAGAAGGGTTCATTTAGATTGGGTTCTCCTTTGTGTATTTAAATTGGCGAAACTAAACAGTTCTCCAGAGGTGTGAGAATGTAAAAGAAAGACTATAGAATGTATAATGTGTAATCAATTTCATGTATAAACTATATATTCCTTTCATTTTTTAATTTTTCATATAAGCAAATAGTTTAATGTTTTATCTTTGTAGTCAAGAAAAAAACATTCCCGTCCTATTGCCTGTACAGGCACAATAAAATGACAGTTGTGTGACCCATCTGTGTAAAGATAAGATAGTTCAAAGATTTAGGGTAGATTTTTCTATTCTGAGTTATATGTCAGATTAAATTCTAGATTTGATTTTATTTGTGACAATAAAATGTTAGTAGGTTAGAAAATGTGGAACAATAAATTAAGGGAGCTCTGATGGCCTAATGGCAAGAAGCTGTGCTACAATCTTGAAGGCATGTCGTTCGAATCTGCCAAATGCACTGCTGGAGAAGGAGAAGCAATCTCCTGTGCCAGTTGATTCGACGGCACACAACAAGAAAATGAAAGAAAAAGTTTAAAAAAATCTTGGGGAGAGAGAGAGAAAAATAGCCTATAGTAGCAGTCAAGCAGAAAATACAAGCATAACTTAAAAATGTGACAATGATTAACCAGTTCTCCAAATTAAACATGGTTTTCGTTTTCTAATTTATTTCCTTAGTTCCTAAATCAGTGACTTCTGTCCAACACATGGGACAAAGCTGCTGCAAAGTAATTGAAAGAAAGTCCTAAGTTTATATTCACATCTTTCTTTTTTTCCTTTCATGAAGTTTATTGAGCACCTGCTATGTGCCAGGCTCACATCATTTTTTGTAGGCTGAAATAATTTGATACATTCATGGATTACTGTATTCCAAATTTATGTCGAATGAATTAAACTATAAACATAAAATAAACTATTGTCATTGTGTACTAAAGCCTGTAACAGCTATCATGAAGTGTAGGAGATAGACATTCTTGAATAGGTTGAAAACTCTTAAAATGGAAAAACTTTTCCAAAAAAGAACACCCAACACTTACAACAACCAGGTATTTTGATTCTGCAGCAGTAGCTTAAAAACATAAACCACTGTAAATGTGCCCTCTTAATACATAGTAAGTTAACTTGAAAATACTACAATAGGAAAAAATTCAAATGTATCTATCATCATGCCTCTTATCACAGCAACTACTTATTATTAAATGAGTTAAATCATGAAAATGAATACAGTGCTGAGTACTTTATAACTTGTAGTTGTGTCAACTCTTTTTCTGTGCACTTTCATTATTATCTTTCAGTCATCTAACTATCCTACATAATGTCCTCTTCATATTTAAAGTTTCTCAATATTTTTTGATAGTTTGTGGAATGAAAAACCATTTTACTCCTCATCTATACTTTCTTTTCCTTTGCTGGTTAGCTAGGTTATTTTTAAATGATGACTGTGATAGAACTACCTTTAAAAAAATAAAGCAGCACAATAGTTTTTGCCGTTTAATGACTATCTTGATCAAAGTATCAGATCTGCTTAAGGTTCCATTTTCTCATTTGTTGGAAGAAACTTTAAAAGAGTAAAAACCAAACCAAAAACTCGGACTCATTTCTGTGAAATTGGAACCAGCCCTCCAGCAGGTTTTTAGAGACTACAAATCACATTGGAAATTACCCATCTTTCTCCCATGGAGCTTCTGGTAGCCTAGGAAGGGATTCTTTTCTATGATCCCTTCTTTGGCCACCAGAAGAGTACTTAAAGATATCAACATCTTAAGGCTATTTAGGGTAGAATAAGGTAGGTAAAGTACCTGTAACTAAAGATACATTTAAAATATTTAAGGGAGCTCTGGTGGCCTAGTGGCAAGAAGCTGCACTGCAACACGGTTTGAATCCACCAGATGCTCTGCTGGAGAAGGAGGGGCAGTCTCCATCAGATTAGATGTGACGGTACACACACACACAATTTTTAAAATATAAAAAAAACCCACCAATAAAATATTTGTGTTTGTGTAATTGTTAAATAAAACAGATTTGTTGCTTTTAGAACCATCCATTAAATTTATTTCATGAGCATCTGAACTTTATGGTAATTTAGGGAAATTGACTAAAGGTAGATATTTCAAATTGTTCATTTTATAATTTTTCATGAAATCACTTAAGTGTTTGAAATGTTATTTTTGGTTGTGACTTAGAACTAATTTTTAATAGTTCTTAAATGAATAAGCAACTCAGAGAACTACTAATTTGACTAATAAAACAGGTATGGAATTGACAACTTAAAATAAGTAGGTCATATGAATTGTAAATAATTTGTTGTTATTATTTCCCATCAAGTTGGAACCATCTCATGGCTGAACCTCCCACAGGTTTTTAGAGGCTGTAAATCTCATGGAAGGAGACTGTCTGCCTTTCTCCCAAGGAGCATCTGCTGTATTCAAACTGCCTGCTTTTAGCTTGGCAGTGTAACTCCTTACTACTAGGCCACCAGAGCTCCCATACAATTAGATTGATTGATTCATCTCTGACAGGTAGCAAAAGTCTAATGTCTTTGTAGGAAAATGAACAAAGGATATGAATAGATAATTTGTAGAAGTAATGGCTTATTGACATAAACTTTTGGCCTCATAATGATAGAAGAAAAAAAAATAATGATAGAAGAAATGCAAATTAAAGATTATAATACATAATAAATTTGACAGAGTATTGCTTTGGGCATGTTGCTAAGCGGAGAGAGATTCCTTGGAGAGGGACATGATACTGGGAAGGGTAGAGGGTCAGCAAAGGAGAGGAAGACCCTCTCTCAGTCAGGTGGATTGACAGTAATGACTGCCACAGTGCCACAGGATAGAATAGGGTTCAGGTCCTTGGTTCATAGGGTCACTATTAGTCATGCTCAACTTGACGGCACCTAACAACATAATAGTTTTAAATTCAGATTCCCAATACTGAATTTGGTGAAGCAGAAATTGTTAAGGTTAATTATTTTAATAAAACTCATTGAGGTTTATTAAAAACACAGACAGTGTAGACCAGAAAATGTCCATTGTCACAGAGTGAATATGGCCACTTTACCAGACTGCAAAAATGGGATTAATTCTTACATTGTTGGATCAGAAACTGAAGATAACAGTGTTCATAATTGGCTGGCTAGCAGAGGAGTTAAAGGTGGGAAATAGACAGTGGAAGATCTATAACATATAAGAAGGATTGGCTAGATAAGATGTACATGGCATTTAGTTTATTATAGCTTTGAGTCTTTTTGGTCAGCAACAACATTCTTCCTTGGTCCTATCTGTTTCTGTCCAATCATGTAAAGATTTATTGTTGACATTGTATTTTAAGACCCTCAGGCACACACACTCTTATCTTGCCTTTATTTATTTATTTGTCTATACAAAATTCTAATACAAACAATTTCTTTCAATTTCCCTCACCTCCCCACCCATCAAATTGTACAACCCAATGATTAATCCCCTCTTCCCCGTGTACATCCGCATCCCTCTGCTTCCAGCCTCTCCCACCCCTCTTGGATCCTTATACTCATTCGACAGTAATGGTCTTATACAATATTTATCCTTATGGGACTGAGCATAATGCTCTCCAGTCCCTCCCAAGTTAGGTAATAATTTGCAAAGACCTTTTGAATATACATTAGATACTCTTAACTTGCAGGCTCAGGCCAGGCCTTTGAAAAAAAGGAATGTTTTCCTTAAGGCATTTAGTCCCTGTCAGTAGCAAGGTTAAAGGAACTGCCATTTGGAAACAGTTTTCATAATCAAAGTGTTAGCACTTTAAAATGGAGTTAAGGCTCCATTTAAATTGCCCTATTTACACATAAACCAGGTGTTCTGATTTTAGACTCTGATACATTCCTTCCTCTTGATGATCGACTTTAATTTTTAAAATCAATTGATGACACTTAGGTTGGCTTACTGTCTTCTGCATGAACTGGTCAATGACATGGTTAGGAGGATGCTTGTTTTATGACAAGATTTTAAGACCCCAGATACTCTCTTCTTTGACAATCGGGCACTATATCATTTCTTCATTGTGCCACATGATAATGCCTGTTCTTCAGTGATCTTCTTAGGGAAGGATCGAATGGAGTATTGCCACCTTAGAGGATGGTTACATAATTAAGAAACCTTAACTGGCTCAACTCCACTGATAAAATTAAGTGTCCAGGAATTTGTATTTTTTAAATTATTATTATTATTACTATTATTACTATTTTTTTTAAAACATTCTGGGTACTTTGATCCTTCACACAGAAATACATAGTCCTAAGGGGTACACATTATACCTTTCCTAGTATTATTAGCTGGAGGGAGCAGTAGTAAAAACTATAGAAATATGATAGCAATGCTAAAGGTAAACAGACACTTGCCATACAGAGGTAACTCGTAGTTGCTGTGAAGCTGAGCATTGTGACAATGGTCACCCATGGTGGACAGTGTTTGGTGGAGCTCCCCGATTAAAACAAGCTTGGAAACAGGAGTTGCATCCACTTCCGAAGTAGCTTGCCTCTGGAAACCCTTTGAACCTGGAGAAAGGATGAAAGTTATACAAGTGTCCAGGTCTCTTTTTTAAAAAGTTTTTTCTTTTTACTTTTCATTTTATTATTTTTTGTGTGTGTACCGTCAAATCGGATCTGATTGGTACAGGAGGAGATTGCCCCTCCTTCTCCAGCAGAGCATCTGGTGGATTTGAACCACGCACCTCTGGGATTGCAGTGCAGCTTCTTGCCACTAGGTCACCAGAGCTCCCTATGTCCAGGTCTTTTGTTTTGTTTGGGGTTTTTTTATTATTATTAAATTTTATTAATTTTAATGAACATTTACAGAGATATGTCCAGGTCTTTTGTTCACAGGGTTGCTATGATTTGATGATACTTAACAACAACAAAGGAAAACAGGCACAATTTTTTAAACTTCACAACAAACAAAAAATTTATATTCAGTAAGGCCTAATTGGAAGAAGCAAGCATTCTCAGTTAAATTTAATATACTCTTTTGGGAAACAGTTTAGCAGAATATATGAAGAATTTGAAAAGGTTTTGCTTTGCTGTTGTTGATGTGCCCTCAGGTCAGCAACACTATGAACATTTTGAACCTTACCCTATGCTGTGTCATCCTCATGGTCACAGACAGAAACAGTTGAATCCAATATTAGAGTCACCTTGTCAATCCATCTTGTGGGTCTTCCTTTCTACCTTCCTGCACCTTTCCAATCATGCTTTCCTTTTCTGAGGACTGGCCCCTCCTAACAACATGCCCTGAAGAATGTGAGGCAAAGTTTCACTCTCCTTGCTTCCAAAGAACATCCTGCTTTTACTTCTAGGACAGACCTATTTTTTTCTTTTGGCAGTCGGTGGGATATTTCATAGTATTCTCCAGCACTACAGTTCAAAGACATTGTCTAACAGATGCAAAGCAAGCAATTGAGAAGACTTGGATCAGGTGTACTTTAGTCGTCAAACTAACTTAAATTTATACATTATGACCCAGTAAGTCCTCTTCATCATTGCTATCTAAACTATTAGAAGTGAGAATAGATTTATTTCAGTAATCAGAGGTGTTCATCATTGTTGTTGTTGTTGTTATTGTTGTTAAGTGCTGTCCAGTCACAGGCGACTCATAGCAACCCTATGAAGGAGAGTCCTCGACACTTGGGTGCCTTTCATCCTCTCTCCAGGTTTATAGGGTTTCCAGAGGCAAGCTGTTATGAAAGTGGATGCCACTCCTCCTTCCAAGCTTGTTTTAATCGGGAAGCTCCATTCATCATTACGGTAGTGAAATTTTTAGCAAACTTCTTTGAAGAATTTTAGCTAGCAATAGGAATGTTTACTTAGTATTTGATCACATGGAAGTGCTTATGATGTGAAGCAGGAGGAAAATGGAACAATTAAGCAGGGGCGTGGGGAAAAACACGCCATTAGTTGTTCTTGTTGTCTTAGAGTTGGAACCCTCATACCTAACCTGGTTTTCAGAGGCTATAAATTGAGGATATTGCCCATCATTCTCCCACAGAGAAGCTAGTGGATTCAAACTGTGTGCCTTTGGGACTGCAGCACTATTTTTTTGCCACTAGACCACCAGAGCTCCCTAAGTAGGATTGCTGTAGTTGTTAAGTGCCTTCGAGTCAGAACTGACCCATAGCAGTCCCTGCAGTGGGTTAACAGAGGCATTGATTGCCCATCTATTCTCCTGTGAAGCAACTGCTGGATTGAACTGCATGCCTTTAATAACATGTTCTGTTATCTCATTACAATTTTTCCCCCCTCAGTATAGATTTTATGATTAGACAAAATAAAAATATCAAGTGAAGGAAAACTTAATTCTTAGAATTCATATGAAGCTGACTAAACAAAAGCGCTGTTTGCTTGACACAAGGGGGAATGCATTTCAATTTCAGGAAGTACTCATTTTAGAAAAATACTTAACATGGGAAGAAATGTAACTGAAACTCTGCTTCAAGGTTGTACCTTACTTATATCTGAACCATTGGTGTCAAAATTAGGAATTAGGTTACCAGAACGTGGCACTGCAATTTCTCTTGAACATGCTTTCTTTTTTAACATCAAAATATTTTAATTTTTTTTCATGGTTGTGCATTTTCTCCCCCCCCCCATGCACCCCTTGTTCCGTATTGTTGTCATACATATAATGCATAATCGTATATTTCTTTTGGACATTTCTTCCCCTCTTGTGATCTAATGCCGTTTTCAATATATATACACACTCCTTTCCCATTCTCTCCCCAACCTTTCCCACGTCTGTCCAATTTTATAACAGCATTGTTAGGCAGGATTTGTCCTTTGTGACTGAGAAATTTATTTCCTCCAGTCACCCCCCATGTTGTGTAATGTTATATGAATTTGTTGTTTGCTGGGTAATATTCCATTTTATGATTGTACCATAGTTTTTCTCTACATTCATTTGTTGCTGGAAAACTTGGGTTGCTTCCATCTCTTTGCTCTTGTGAATAAGGCAGCAATAAACATGAGTGAGCACACATCTGGTTGAGTTATGGCTGTGGTTTTTTTAGGATATATTCCCATAGGTGGAATTGCTTGGTCAAATGGTATTTCTGTTGCCAACTTTTTGAGAAAGTGCCAGGCTGCTTTCTATAGTGGTAATACCTAGAACATTCTTTTTAAAACAATGAATTATTATCTTATTAAATCTAACAATACATACATCACAAGAAAGTAAAGTTTATCCTGGAATACAAGTTTTTCCTAATGGAAATATCTTTCAAAGATAGTTTCTTTTTCTTTATTGTGATTTATGTAGCTTTGAGAGTACATTTATGATTTATTATTAGGTCAAAAACTTAAAAAAAATCCTCATAACTGTCAAGTCAGAACTAATAGCTGACCTTCTAGCAAGATGTAAATTTCCTTAAATTGGTTGACATACAACCTAACATAGATCAATTTGTGCTGATCACAGAATGAATAAAAATAAAATAATTTTATTTTAACCATGGAATTCATGTTGATTGAAGATTGAACTACCAAGTAGTATTTGACTATCAGAACAAAAATTTAGTATGATTTTGAGATGTTTCTGATGGTGTTTATCCTTAAAATTTTAGTGTTACTTCTCAAATAATTGGTTTTTTTTTAAAAAAGCCTAAATATGATGATAGGAAATCTTTTTTAACCAGAAAATATGCACTTTATGTATAATTACTTCTGAAGAAGTTTTTACTTGGCTTTTCACATGGCTTAGCATTGTTGCTCTATTATTTACATATAACTGCCTGTCACAGCCTTTTGAACCTTCCTGGCCCCGCTCATATTTTCTTATTTATATATGTCTGTTACCTACTTCTAGATTGGGAACAAACTAAATCAAGTTTCTCCACTAACTATTGTTAACATAGTTCAGTATATGATAAATGCTTAATTAATATTAAATGCCTGTATTAATAATTGGAACATTAGCTTTTCTGTATTATGTTTGGGGTTATTTTTAAAAAGGTACAGTTTTTACTTGAAGATGCCGTGTTTCTAAGATTCTTCCTTTGCTCCTTGCTCAGTTAGTCAAGTCAGGAAGGTACCAGACTAATTTACTGATGCAATTTTGGAACTATAAAGGAGAGAATTAACCAGTTTTCTATTCACTTGACAGGTGTGGGATTATGAAACTGGAGATTTTGAACGAACTCTTAAGGGCCATACAGACTCTGTACAGGATATTTCATTTGACCACAGTGGCAAGCTTCTAGCTTCCTGTTCTGCAGATATGACCATTAAACTATGGGATTTTCAGGGC